GCACCATAGAACAAGAGGCACCGATAAAAGTCTTGTTAAAATTTAGAGCTGGATTAAGAAGTGATCTCCAAACCGAACTCTTTGCTAGAGAAGTAAACACTCTTAAGAGAGCTTACGCCTTAGTTTAAGATTTAGATGAAGCCAAATTCCACCAATCTCATAAGGCTCAGGATTTTCGAACTTATTCCTCCCAGTCTTCCCGTGCCAATACCTCTAGTCAGCCTATGAGTCGATCTAACCCTAGTTCTTCACAGTCTAGAGTCGATCCCAAGGCGAGAAGTCAGAGAGATCTCTCTCCAAACTTAGCCCAATAATTTAGTGTTACAATTGTCAATGATATGGGCACATTGCTTCTGTCTGTACAACTTCGTTCAGAATTAGAATTAATAAGCCGTCTATAACGGAATCAAAATCTTTATTGAGGAAATCGTTAAACAGACCGTAGATTTGACAGAATCTAACTCCGACAAGAAAATCTAGGACAGTATAATCGAAGAACCATGCACTTTCATTTCTTCTAAAACTACCCCTGCAATTGTAGAATTAACTGAAGTTTCATGCAATGCCAACACTTCGATTATTCCCCAAGCTACCCCTTTGATCACGGAGTTCATTGATGTTGTCCCTGAAGTTGTTCCTGAAATTAAAACTCCAACTCCTCCTGAATTTACTTCAGTGACTGAAAACGTTGTTGATATTCTCTATGAAGTCCTCCCGGACCAACATGACACCCAACATGTTCTTGATTCGGTTCCTAAAATGAGTCACTCAGATATCTGTATGGAAGTTGAATCCCAAATTGAGCATAGTAAAATAGCTACCATATCAGATGTCAAACCCCTATGCATTGTCCCGATAGTCACTCACACATACACTGATCCATTTTGGGAATATATAGTGATTAGGGACACAAGTTTGAGCACGAGTGTTTTCATTTCTTTTTTCTCACATATTAAGCACACAAAAACACTCCTTCATACATTTGTTTGCATGTTCCTCACTATCATTGCTAAAAGAGGAAATTTGTTATTCATACTAATGAAGGAACGCCTAATTATTCCATTTGATAGAGGACGTCATGCATGTTAAACACTTCGTTGAGTTACATCTGCCATTGATCGCATTGTTCGAGTCTGCATTTCATACATAGTCATTTGAGTTGATTTGCATCATTTTGTTTTGATTTTTATTGATCATATATTGGGGAATCAGTGATCTAATTTGAATAAATACATTATTAACTGAAATGTATGATATGAAGTCAGTACATAGTTTAAAACTGTTAATGATGATATTTGAGATGGTTTGGACTTGTCCAAAACAGTTTCTTTTATAGCTGTTTAAAATTTGACATGGTATTTATAAGCTTTTCCAACTCTTGAACTAATTAATGGCAACATTTATATTATCGATTTGGTCATAGTTCTATTCTCAATATTGATTGATTAAGCAGTTCACAATGTTATTGACAGTCCACTGATATAAGCCTGACCCTAACCTATTATTTATGAGAGTTCTTTCACTTTACCCCCCATTTCTATATATTCACCCATGCAGCAGTGAATTTTGATAATATTTTAGATGGTGAATTTACAATGCAATTTAGCTAATGATTTGAGATGTAGAAAAATAACTGACGACAGATTAAGATGCAGACAACTTATATTGAAGATGACAAATTTTTGTAGCTAACTCGACGGAGTCGAGTTTTCTCCTACCCGGGGAGAATGATGAGAACAAGAATTGACAACCTTCCATTTTAGCATAGTTTGAATTTTTTGAAATTTGAATTGTTGTTTAATTTGATAGTTAATAATTGTGAGATATTTGAGGGATTTTCTATTTTGGTAGGATTTTAATTTTTGAATTTTGAATTTTGAATTTCAAAAAATTCAAACTAAGCTAAAATGGAAGGTTGTCAATTCTTGTTCTCATCACTATTTATATATTACAACTAGTACTATTTTGGAATTCATATAAACTTATTCAGGCACATATTTTGTCAATGAAGCACCAAAGATGTACCTTTTTCAATTATTTTTTAGTAAAAGCAATGAACATTATCAAAGCTATCAATAGTGATTGCATTCTAATAAGCACAATTGATCCGAAAGAAACATAAAGTAAGCTGACAACACATACTTCACACTTTTACAGTTGGACTATCAATTAGCTAAGATTTTTCGTGTTGGAAATTGCTAATCTTTTTGGTCTTTCTTTATTGTTTCATATTACCTTTTGTGCAAAGTAGCAGAAACCATGCTAATTTTTTATGTGATTTAGATAAAATATGGAGAAACCTTTGTTTGAAACCTGCTTATAAGCCTAAACATTGATGACTTTACTGTTTATAGGTAAGGACACTTTTTTTTTTTATTCGGCCCAAACTATTTTTAAGCAGGGACAAGTTAATCCCTGAAAAGTGGACTACAATAAACTCAACCCTTCCGCCCACCTTTACAATCCAGGTATTATTCATATAGGGGATTAAGATTTCTAGGCAAAATCACCCACCCTCTTATTTCACTGATCTTTTTTTTCGTGATTTTAGTTTATCGTTATTTTTTCTTTTCGCAACTTTTTGTATGAGTTTTTCTTTCCGCTTTTATGCACCTTTCATTCCGCTTTTCTGCTGATTTCTTCTGCATGTTTTTTTTTTCATTTCAACGTCTTTATTTTTCCGCATTTGTTTTCCGATACTTCAGTGTTTTTATCTCCTAAGTTATCATCACTCCTGTTAACTGGAGTGCACGCTGGTCTCATTTGCACATATTCTGGCCATGGCAAACAAACAGCTTACAGCTTGTACATATCAAACCTACCTCTTAACTTTTTTGAATGTATACTTCTTTTTCCCTAAATTTTGTTTTCTTGCACGTCATCCATCTTAATAGACACGTTTATCATACAACTTGGACTTTCCAGAAAGGTTAGCTGCATGAATTAGAAACATTGGTTGTATGAAAGTAGAGCTTTGAAGCTTAAGTGATTAGCAATCAATACAAAAGTTATCTACACCAATGAAAATTCAGCAAAATTTATCATGACTCATTCCTGATGAAATCTAAACTAGCGCTAACATGTAGCTTACCTAAGCCATTGCTCTACATTATTAAAATTGTACCTCAATAGCTCACACATGTCAAAAGCTGGTGTATTAATACAATATCAGTTTACTTGAGGGCAAAAAGGTCATTCTGGTTATGATATTAGTCCGAACGATCAGAGTCATTATGCTAAAAGAACAAATGCTAGTTTGGATTGCTATTAGTTAGTTTGGATGTTAGTTCATGTGAAAACAAACAATGAATTGGACTAAAATAGTCTTGCGATAATACAATCCGAGTACTGTTATTCGGGGAATATTATACCCCCTAGTATGGGGATAAAAAACAAATGTGGCCTAAGTGCTTCGAGAATATTCCTGTTATTAGTTGTTTCTTGAGTTCTTGCTAAATTATTTTTGTATATGGATATAGAAGTTTTAAGGGCCTCATAAAGTTTTTTTCTAGCTAAATTATTTTTGTATATGGATGTAGGAGTTTTAAGGACCTCATAAAGTTTATCATTTAGTTGAACTCAGTGAAGGTTATCTTTTAGACCTTGTAAAATCTTCTTTCCTGATGAAAGGCCAAGGATATTCAAGTGGAAGAAATTCCTTGCAAGGTCATTGTAGAGCCAGAAATTCCATGCTTGACTTCTACTTTGTCGCTTTAGTTCTACTCGAAATTCTATATAGTGTGGTGCTGGATGTTTTAGTTCTTTGTTAGAAGAAGCTTGCATTTCTTTTAGGCTAAATGTCAGAACATCCCCTTATCTTTGGACATTAATCAGACAACTCCCCGTATCTTTCAAAATATCAGAAAACCCCCCTTAATTTTCGGGGTTATCAGAAAACCCCTTTAACCTTTTTAAGAAAACCCCCTAATAAAAGCATGAACCCCAATTTTCACTAGTCCCATGTATAATTTTACCCAACCATGTGAAAATTGCATTTAAC